CAAAAACGGAAGAGTTCAAAGTGACCAAAGGTTGTTTAACCATATTAGCATTCGTCATCATCGCAATCTGAGCATCTTTAATGATTTGTTCCAAGTGAGGGCTTGAGAATTGCAGTGTAGGAATATTCGAACTGTGTGCCTTACCCATTAGTTCATCCACCTGGTTTTTCATTGACTCAATTGGCCGAACAGTCACTTTGTCGGCTAATTTCGTACTGTCTTTGCCTTCTCTTTCAATGTTGGTGAAAAGAAATAGTTGCTTGTCCATCCCATCCTCTTTTGGAATTGTTGAATCTAGGTGTTCATCCTCCATACCTGCCAGTGCGTCAAAAACATTTGGGCTGGTCACCAATTAGAATCATTTGGTTGAAAACTTGTTGTTTTTTGTCTTGGTGATACCACCTATTTCGTAAGTGATTTTCTTGCTGAAACCACGTTCCAAACCCCCTCTTTTGGATTTGTATTATTGCCCTTACCTGCACCAACTGATTTACCAGTGTTCACCTCCATAACAATACCCTTTTGCTCATGTCTAACATCAAATTGCCCAAAAATTGGTTCGACCCCAGCATTAACTCGAGTACCAGTTGTATTCTGAGCAACATTATCTTCCAATTGTGAAACTGTAAGACCTGGCTGTTTTTCAACATTGTCACTTTGCTCTATCTCTGCTACTTCTGCATTATTTTTGGCAATAAAAGCTCGAACAGTTGCAGCTAATGCATTATCATCCATCAGTTGCCCAGATTCAATAGTAAGAGTTTGTAAAGCTGCATTCACATCCATATGAAACCTTGACAGAAATGCTGCATTGTTTTTTGTTTTTTTCTTTTCTTTTTGCATTTTTTTTGGATTTTTGCTTTGATGTGATTTCTAAGAAAATCTGCCTCACTCTTGACTTCGGAGATTATGAAATATATTTTATTTGGTGTGACCAAACCATAAGGCTGCCTACGTATCTTGTGGTGACAAGAATCAGGTCGAACGTAGTTCAAATACAAAGTTGGGTTTTCTTTTCTTTTTTTTCCTTTTCTTTCTTTTTCTTTTTTTCTTTATTTTTTTTCTTTCTTTTTCTTCCTTTTCTCTTTTCTTTTTTCTTTTCTAGTTCCCAACTCTACTTCTGATTCCAAAAGAGGTGTATGGAACAAAGCAAATTAAGGCTCAAAAAGGGTAGCAAAAGATAAAAGTGTTTGGGGTAGCAGAATAAAATGTCTTTGTCATACCAAACTTTAAAAATGCCAAGTACAAGCATGCAATTGAAGATAAGTAAAGAAATCATGTACAGTATCTATTGATGACATCATCACAAACAGAAAGGGTCGACGAGCAATACCTTTGTCCCAATGAATGATCATTACCAGTTCAAAGCAGACTTGACTCAACCTTATATTGATGTGGAAGAATGCATTTCAACACTGACTGATTTTCCTCAAACTACTTGAGAGACATTTCCTTATTGTATGCTCTTATCAACCTCTTAATTTCCCAGATTTACTGCCTCAGCTTCACTCAATTTAAACTTCAGGCTATCTCAGAATGCATGAATCTTTACTTGTTTCCTCAAATGCCTCTTTTTATCATGTTCAAAACTGATCATTGCTTCATGATTAAACTAACTTTCAAGACAAGGCTGAGAATTATGCGTGCATGTCATGTCACTAGAGTCAGGCTTAAAAGGACTATAAAAGGAAAAGTAACCTAAACAAAAACTGACTAGAACTAATATAAATAGGAGATTGCATTAAATAGATGGTGAAAAGGATTTGAACAAAACAAGCAAAATAGACATGGGTTGCAACCCTGGAACAATCCTAGATAACACTAGACGAGTTACTATAATAAAACGAACTAGGCAAAAAGAAATAAAGAGTTTGAGCCATAAAACAACATCTAGATTACAACCCTGAAATAACCCGGACAACCGAAATGACAACAAAATAAACCACCAAAACTCCTCCCTGGCTAGCCAAGAAATGAGTGCCTTTCCAATTACTAAGCTCGACATCTTAGCCACTGGATTGCACATCAAAATTACTAGGACCTTCACCAGTTTCAATATCATTAACTTCAGTCAGCAAGTTCCCAAGAGGATTCTCATACTCCCTATCACCATGCATCTTCCCCACAAAGTATGTATCATCATGTGCAGGTAAAGGATTGCGCAAAATTCTGGGTGTCACTGTCCTGAACCACAATTATCCCTTCTTGAATCATTCTTTCTATCTCTCTTTTCAAATCCCGACAACTTTCGACATTGTGCCACTGGGCATTGGAATGTTATTCACACCTTTTAGAAGGATCAAAGCTTCTTGCACGCGGGTCCACGTGATTCGGAGGAATATGTGCAATCAGGTCATAATGCTTTAATTTCTCAAACAAGCTTGCATAGGACTCTCCTATCGATGTAAAATTATCTTTCAGCCTTTGTTTACCTCTATACCCCTGGCTTGGATGTGTGTTATGGGGCACTTGAAAATTTTGTGGAGGCTGGTGGAGATTTTGCGGTGCTGGCGCTCGCCTTCTGGGGTGTCTTGGTGGCTGGACAACATAATGGATGGAGCAACAGAGTATTGCGGGTTCTCAGGGGAATCGTCAAAAAACAAACAAGGCTGGTCATGCCTTCGAGATGTTCTTCTAGGACCACTTCTCGACCTTGATGTCATTATGATTTCTTCAACCTTCTCACTCGTGCCACTAAAATTACCAGATTCAATTTGGACAGCCTGAGTTGCAGCTTTGAGAGTTGCTTGACTAATAATTTTGCCTGTCTTAAGGCCATTCTCCACCATTTCTCCCATTTTGATTGCTTCCAAGAATGATTTGCCAACTGCGGACATCATGTTTTGAAGTAATCAGGCTCTTAATCCTGAAGAAAGATAGTGATTAGCTCGTGGTCATCCATGAGTGGCTTAACTCTAGCTGTTTGTTCTCTTCACTTAATTGCATATTCCCTAAAGCTTTCAGTTGGTTTCTTATTCAGATTTGAAAGGAAATTAAGGTCAGGGGCGATGTCAATGTTATATTGGAACTGTTTGACAAAGGCTTGGGCCATATCATCCCAGACATACCAACAAGATGTGTCTTGACCCATAAACCATTCGGAGGCTACACCCATAAGGCTTTCCCCAAAATAAGCCATCGGTAATTCTTCATTTCCTCTCGCACCTCTTAATTGATTGCTATACTTTTTCAGGTGGGCTATGGGGTTTCCATGTCCATCATACTTTTCAAATTTGGGAGTCTTGAAACCAAGTGGCAAACGAACATTGAGGAACATACATAGATCCTTGAAGGCAATACTCTTCTTACCTGCCAACCCTTGTATGTTTTTCAACTGTTGTTCCAAGCTTTTCAATCTTTGGGTTATTTCTTCCGGTGCTATCTTTCGACCAGGCTTCTCAATCTTTGCAGGAACATCAAATAGGTAAGAATGGTACTCAGGAGAATGGTATTGTTCTTGTTGGGTAGCAAATTGTGACTCATGAGTTTTCCTCTGCACCACCGTAGACTGAGGATGGTGAAGACATGCATAACTGTAGTGGTTGTCTGATTGTAGGGGTGTGCATTCGAATCGATTTATCGATAAATCGAATCGATTATTTGTTATCGATTTATCGATTTCAATTTTGAAATTTTCCTATCGAGTTATCGATTTCGATTTCAATTTTGTCCTTTTCGGTTATGGTTTATCGATAAACCGATAAGATATACTAAAAAGACAATTTTTTCCCCTTATTCTATAATACCCTTTCATTTACCCTAAGTCTCTAACCTTATTATTTCATCTACCACATTTAAGGAATGATTATATTTAAAGCTCAAGGGAATGAAGTTCAAATTAATGGAAAACAGAATTAGCCGTGATGATGTATTTTTTTTATACCGTTGGAGTGTTGGTGGCATACATTTGATCCCTTACTTTAGTTTCGTTGCATGTGCTTGTTGACACAATTTTTATGTTATAAACAGTGTTCGTCTTATTTTAGCTTCTTTTTGTCCATATTAGTTAGGCGTGTTTATAGCAATATACTTTCCGCGGAATCCCGCAAATTTTCTTATTGGTGTAATCGATAACTGAATCGATAAGCTCCAAAAATCGATAAATCGAAATCAAGAAAATCAAAATCTTATTGAAACGATAACGATAAGCATATGTACAAATCGATAATCGATAAGGGTCAAAATCAAATGCACACCCCTATCTGATTGGTTGTCAATGGCACGCTTTGGGAGTGCACAACAGAGGTTCCAGCTATAGTCGTACAATTGGGATAAAGACTGAACCTAAATGGATAGAATTGATCGGACAATAAAACCGGAGTGGTAGTAGTCGAGATGGGTGTAAACTCTGGAAAATCATAAGAAAGGGGTGGTCCTTGACCATTGGCCCATACTTGACACATTTCAGACATTTGTTGTTTCAGCCTTTTGACCTCCTTGTTCAATTCAGATTCCGACTCCACAATCTCCCTCGATGGGTCGACAACTCCTGTTTCTAAGTCTTTGCTAACCATGGCTACCTTGCTCTTTGACCTTGTATTGTACGGATGAATCGCCAAAGTGCCACAAACTAACCACCCTCTGTTATGATAACAATGAAAGTAACAAAGAGGAGCAAAATAAAGCCAACATGTTAGCGTTAGGACATTTATCAGATAGAAATATCACATTGCATGCAATGCCCCTAGCAACAATTAACGGTTTTAGAATGACTTCGAGGGTCACAAGGTCATTTGGCATCATCCCAATTTTGTTCATTTCAACTTTCTCTTTTCTTTCTTTTCAAGCACTTCCTGGCTTGCTCATTTTTTCCCTCTTTTTCCTTTCTCATAAACACTCTTTTCTTTCCTTTCAATTCTCACATCCACAATTTCGCCTTTTTTTCTTTTTTTTTTCTTTTTAGTTTTAAAAAATAATTCGATCGAACCCTATATATGTTGCCTACGTATCATGTCCCTCATGAATCAGATCAAGTGTGTTCTGGAAAATAATGGACAAAATAAACTAAAACAAATCTTTTTGAATTTTCCATTTATAACTTCTTTTTTTTCAAATACAAAATAGGAAGTACGATAATGAGAGACTTGACAAACTAAACTATACTACGACAATACCAACTAAATGATTGAATACTATTGTACAGGACTAGAAAGTAAAACATGAATAATAGACTCAAAAACATAAAAAGGCTCCTAAAGCAGCTTCTGAATGTAGTCCTAGGGTATCTGTCATGCTCGAATCCTGGTACACTAATTCATACCTGAATGAGAAAAATAAGACAAAATAGAGTTAGCGACTCAAGACACTATGCGACGCCACAACACCTCCTATGGGACACATGCAAGAAACGATTGAGCTATTTGTGAAAATTAAATTATGTGGTCAATAGTGGCTAGAAGTGTAAACTCAACAAGATTGACTTCATAGACATGGGAAATGCCTCACTAAGGATTATATGGATTCAAACTCCCAATAATCATGACCCAAAATTAATTTGCAAAAATGACCAATTTTGGCAAAAACTGCCGATATGGCCAAAAGTAGCTAAAGATGCAAATTCAATAAGGACGGACCTTAAAATAATATGACACCTAGTTGTGGACTCAAGATCATAAGATATGGGTCAGTGAACCACTTTTGCGCAAATGACCCATTTTTGCAAGAATGGTCGATGTGGCCAAAAGTGGCTAGACATGCAAGATTCACTAGGAACGGGCTTTGAAGTAAAGAGGCAGCTAATTGTAGATTCTAGACTCTCCAAACACGGTTCAGCAAGCCACTTTGCAAAATAACCCTATTTTGCAACAAAGTCGTTGTGGCCAAAAGTGGCTAAATATACAAGATTTGGCTAAGACCCCGCGAAGCCAAGAACCTAAGGCTTACTAAGAAAGACCGGACCCTACGTGGGTTGCCTACGTATCCCTCTCCGAAAGACGAGAATCAAGTTCACGTAGTTCGGGAAGATTGGACATGGGAGAAAGCCTTTAAAAAATGCAACTAATTCGAAGAAACTATATCTTTTCTTTTTTTTTTGGAAAGATGATGAAAAATATAAAATCTTTTTGTATTTTTTTTTCTCTTTTTTTTCTCTTTTTTTGGAAAATGATGCAAAATCTTTTTGGATTTTTCATTTTCAATTTTTTTTGGGTTTTCTTGAAAAAAGTTGTGAAAGAAAAATATAATTGGGCCCTACTTGCTTCATTTTACACCCTTCTTTCCCAAACATTAGTCCGCCAAATGACCTTTTTACCCTCAAAGATGCAACATGTATCACATAGGGATGATTGAATGTCTTTTATTTTATTTTTTATTTTATTTGGGGCACGGGCCCATTTTGACAAAATTTGGATAGACTTCCTACAATGGGGCACGGTGCCTGGGACCGAGCTCTACTAGGTCCAAATAACATGATGCAAATAAGAATGACCTAAAGGCTGACCTAAGTTTGGGGTTCACTAACAAGGTAATTCAGGGGAGCGTATGGTCGATGGTGGCTGCTCAAGCCTTTCACCCACTTCATATGTCTGATGGCCCCTCCTCCTAAAATAAGGGTGACTCAACAAAGAGTTCATGTACGCGATGCGCACTCCGAGATTTGTTGTAGAAAGAATTGACCGGATAATGCATATGATGACAGTTATAAAGCAGTAAGCACATAAAAAGAAAACTGTAAACACATAAACAACTAGCAGATATTAACAAAGTATAAAAACATAATAAAAGTCAGATAAAGCTAAAAAAACATAAACGCCTCAACCGGATATTCTAAAAGCCAACAAGATCAAGTACCAGCTCGAACCTGCAAGTCCCTGACAGAGTTGTCAGAGCTGTCACACCCCTTTTTTTCAACCAACTTCACTAACCCTCTTAAATTAATAAAAGTGACAAAAGGGTTTTCAATTATGAAAGTGACAAAGAATTGTGTTCAAAAGGGTATTTCAGAGTCGCCACCTGATATTGGTTTCGGTGTGCCAGATCACCATTTTAAAAGAATAATTTTTCCTTTTAAAACACTTTGAACTCCAAAACTAAGTTTGCACCAGAGATTCGGGTAAGGAGGTTCATTTGACTCGGGGAGAAGGTGTTAGACACTCCCCAAATCCCGTGAAAGTCACGGTTACGTACATGATCAAGTTGGCTTTAAAGGATATTCTAATTGAGGCGACAACACACGAAAAGAAAATAAACACACAAGAGGCTCGAGGCTATCACCAGCTAAATAAAAGAAAATAAAATTAAGAAAGAAAAATAAAAATAAGAGTACTAAATATCTTATACTACACTTCCTCGATGATGTCCATCTCTAGCCTTTTAATTACATGTACTTCGGGACATTCCCAGAGTAAAATATTTACAAGCTACTCGGACATTCCCCGGATAAGATAATAAATTAAAGGGGATAACCTTTAACCTCGAATTACAATATAAAATCCTAAAGTTTTCCTACCAAAGTATTTACGGCTTAAGTAATAAAATGATTAATCCCAATTGTTTTGCAGAATCTATGGTTAAAACCAATTCTAAAGTTTAATGTCACTCTATTTTCTCGACCTATGATTCAATTGACTCAAAGAATACTGATCATACAAATCAATTCCACCTGACCCACACGAAATGATTTCAGTAATTAATTACGGAAACGCTGAATTCAATCATAAACTTCTCTTAGCATTAAAAATCCATTTAAGCTCTAAAATGACGAACATAATAAAATATAAAGCAAATTGCAAACTCATATGAAATTCTATTATAAGAGTGCATTCCGGGAAGATAATACAAATTCACTCACACAATAACAAATACGAACAAATTTGTAGCATAAGATTTAGAAACGGACCTCAAATGAGCAAACTTCTTTTAATATATGAATTTGATTACCTCTAACTTCGGCGAACCGAGTCTGAACCGTGAAGATGACACGGGAACAGATTGATGGGAACTCGAACGGCACCGGGGATTCGAACTTCGATTTCGCCGGAACAGTCATGGAAATGGACTATTTGGGGTGGTTTGCGGCTGTCAGCTCCCTGTACTCTCTACTGCTCGTGCCTCTGTGTGTGTGTGTGCGGCATTTCTGACGAGTTCGCCGCTGGTTTAGTGAGAGGAGGAGTTGAAGGATGGTCTGATGGATGGAGATCGGTGTTCTCTTGGGTCTGTTCGGTTGAAGAAGGGGTCGCTGGTGTTGTTTTTTTGTGGAGTCCGGTGCTAGAATGGGGTGTTTAAGGTTGTGCGGTTGTGTTGTTGGTGTTGAGGGGGCGGAGGCCGGCAGATTGGGGCTGCTGCGGCTGGTTCTCTAAAGGTGACTCTAGGGTTCCTCTATTCTTAATCCATTTTTTAAAGTGTGGTGTGGTGAGTCCTCCAAATTGTGAATCAAGAATAGTGTGTAAAATTGTATATGTCAGAAAATGTGAATCAAAGAATAGTGTGTAAAGGTCAGATGAAAACATTATAGTTGGTTTAGGAAAAAAGAAAGAATTTTGAAGAAAAATATATAAAAAATGGGAAGGCACGTGATGGGGAAGAAAAAGAGTAAAATGGGATCACTTTCAATTTTTGTTTCTTATACTCTTGCTCTTTTCTACTACGTACTTCGGTTCTTTCTTTCATTTTTCGTTGTTTTCTTGTTTTGTTTCTTTCTTTCTTTTTTCGTTTGTTTGTTTTTCAATTTTCTTTCTTTTCTTCTCTTTTTTTTTAGATAAGCCAAACAATACTAATTATTTAATTAGTAGGAAATAACTAAAAATAAAAATATAATAGCTAAATTAAAGAAAATTTAAAACTACTCAATACTTATTAAAGGCCTACAACTTAAAAGTCTTATTAACTACGTAAAAGTATTTATTTTTGAAACTTTTCTTTTTATCTTTTAAAAATAAAATTTCAAAGCTATATTTATATTAGTTTTAAAACCAAAACTAGCTAGACAAAATACCAATAAGCTAAAACAAAGGAAAATATTTTTTATAATTTTATTTAAAGATAAAATAAAGTTAAAAGTTTAAAAAAATAGTAAAAATAGTACTATTAGGCCTAAACTAATATCCAAGCACTAAAAATATGTAAAATTTCGGGGAGGATCAAAAATCACATGTCTACAAGTATGGAAGGAAAGGAAGAAATAGCTCCGGATTTGCGGAAGGTCTTGCAGAATGGGTGTACCTATTAAGGATGGCATGTGGGCGGATCCAGGCTCGGGACCGCAACCCATGTGGTCTTTTAGGCCTAAACGGTCCATAACCGGATAAGCCCTGGACTGTGGAGGTGGGTCGGTCTTCTGGGTCGGTCCTTCACTTTGGGACCGCAAGATCGGGACCAGACAGCCCTTGGTAGGCCTAAACGGTCCCAATCGGTCCCAACGGTCAGATTTTTTTAATTTTTTTTGCCCGTTTGGTCATTTAAAAAGTAGCCGTTTGGGCTGCTAAAATAGCTGTTGGCTATTTGCAAAATAGCCATTTAACCCCCCAACTTTGTGTTAATCCCAAACTTTTTATAATTACACTTTTCCCTATTTTCAACTATAAATACCCCTCGTTCTTTCATTTTTCTCACAAAATCAATCTCTCTCTAATTTTCTTCTGTAATTTCTACTATTGCTTACTTTTCTGTTACAATTTGTGAAAAAATTATGAAGTTGGTGAATTGAAGTCTTCAACGATAATCAATTTTCAATAAGTTATTCGTCAATTCGGTAAACTCGTTCCAACTCATAATTTTTAATATTATATTTTTGTTTGTTTTATTTATTTTCTATTATTTGATTACTTGCGATGGCTTCCTTAAAATACCTTTTTGGTAAAAATAAGGGAAAATCCAAGAGTGGCCAATCTGTTCCTCCTTCACTGCCCCCTGCTCCCCGACCCAAACCTCATACCCGTCCTACACTTGCTATTCTTGATAGTGATAATAGTTCATTATAATTTACTGAGAGTCAATTTTTCCATAATATTGGTGCTGGTGAACAATTAAACCATGAATTAATGAATGCTCTTTATTCTAATCCAACTATTGATGAAGATGATGAAGAGGAAATAGATTTTGATGAAATGCAACCGAATGACGATACACCCACTAGTCCTGCTCCTGAAATTAACCCAACTAATGATAATCCAAATGATGTCCCGTCTGATCCTCATGTTACTACCCCTACTTTTTCTAAACAATGTACCAAACGGACAGAAACATTCATTGTTTGGCCTTTTTTTACTCAACTAATTCCACAAAATAAGGCTAAGTGTAAAACTTGTGGCAATGAGTTAGCTATTAAATATATTAGAGGTCGGGGGGGTGGCAATGAGTGGCAATGAGTTAGCTATTCGGTGGGTCACCATTACTTGACTTAGAAAGGCGAACATCTGGGCAAGGGAAAGCGCAGTGCGCCTGGTGCAAATGACTTTCTTTTTTCATGATATACCATAAGAAAAGAAGATTTAATAAGAAAATCCAATTTCCTTTTTCGGGTAAAGGTTTAATTAAGAATTCCAGGTGGTCCAGTGGATGGATTAAGCTATTGATCATATCATAGGTCAAGGACAGAACGAAGAACCAACGTTTTTCTGGGCGGGCATCTCCCGCAACGCAAGCACCATTGTTCGACACCACCCGAGAAGCAAAAGATTCGTCAGTCCAGGTTGAAAATACATGCATAGATAGTGGTTTAATGCCAAGGCCGACGACGGAAGCTCGGGACGGAGCCGTATGAGGCGGAAGTCAGCCACAGGTTCCCCTACGGCTACCTTATTACGTTCGGAATCCTACTTATACAGATTTTTTCTCGCACAACCGTAAAGAGCGGTATTTATAAATATAAACATAAATATGAACAATATTTACGCTATTTATTTACTCATATAAATTATCATGTTGCTATTACAACTGATATTGGTAGAAGTGGTAATGACTGCGATTACCTTACTGTTACCAGTCATTGGATTGATAAGGATTAGATAATGCAAAAGCGCATTATTGCTTATAGAATAATTAATTCACGTCACACAGGGCAGTTTATTGCTAGCACAGTTACAGATATTTGTAGATATTTTTGCATTATTGATAAAATCACGCCAGTTTCAATGGATAATGCTACTAGTAACACAAATGATGTAGCTTTACTTACCACTACACTAAGTCCTGCATTTAGTAACATTTTTCATATTAGATGTATTTGTCATATTTACCATTTAATTGTGGGTAATGGTATGAGAATTTTAAATATTGAAATTGAAAAGGTTAAAATGGCTCTTAACTTGCATTTTTATTCAAACCGTAGAAGTAGACTTAGAGAATATTTTAAAAAATGCGATGAATTTGGCCTAAGAGAGAGAAAGGTTCCTAAAGCTTGTCCAACTAGAAGGAATTACATGTATGAAAGTTTAGTTGTTGCATATGAATATAGAAACCCCATAAACTCAACGTTTATTGCTCATGTAAGTGATGATGATGAGCATCTTACAAATGCGGATTGGTCTAATGTTAAAATACCTGTAGATTTTTAGAAAAATTTCATATTGCTACAAATAAATTTTATGGGCAATATTATCCTACTATTTCTAACTGTTCAGTTTATATTGCAGAACTTGCAAATTTATTTGCTCATTTTTCAGAGAGTGGGAAAATTTATAAACTTGCTATTTATTCTATGAGAAAAAAGTTTAAAAAATATTTTTTCCCTATTCCCCCTATTTATGGTGTTGCTGCCTTGTTAAATCCTACTATGAAATTAGGAGGTCCTCAATTTTGGTATGAAACTGTATATAATGGTTTAGCACTTGAAGAATGGGAATTGTCTAAACTTCCGGAAGCAATAGTCTAATTAAAATAAATGCTCAAACTATTTAGAATGCTTATCAAGTTGCATTAGATCAGGCTAGATCAATTGTTCCAACTCTTTCTTCTCCTGATTCTCAATCATCTAAAAGAACCATGGGAGTAAGAGCACTTAATGCTTGGGCGGGGTTCAGGGGTTCTCAAGGTTCTACTACTTGTGATTTTTTACAACTAAATAAGCTTGAAGTTTATTTGTCATAGGGAATTGAGGAAGTGAATCCCGACAACTCCTTTAATATTTTGGAATGGTGGAAGGACAAAGAAAAATACTTTCCGGTTCTTTCAAGGATGACCCAAGATATTTTAACTATTCAAGCTTCAACAGTGGCATTGGAGAGCGCTTTCAATCAAGCAAGACTTTAACTCGATGATTATAGAGCGTCTATGAGGGAGAGCTTGGAAAAATCAGTACTTTTCAGAGATTGGATCCGTTCGAAAAGATGAAATTTTGGACTTGCTGAATCACAACCAGAGGTAGACGAAGCTTACAAAGAAATGCTAGCTGAACTTGCGGAGGATTCTGCTTCACCCATAAGCGGTGATGACCAAGCTTCTTTTCCGCCACCACCAACAGAAATTCCTCCGGACCTTAATGGATTTGTGAAGTTTGTAAGAGATACCATGTAACTTGTATGAATAAAAATTAGTCTGTATTATGTAACTTGTATTTTGGCACATCTTGATTAGTTTCTTTTTCTTCTCAATGGTGGTATTAGCATCTTGTTGTGCTTATTCCATAGGGGGAGGAAGACTAAGAAAGATATTGCCATATTTTTTTAATGCTATAATAAAATTATAATGCATTGCATTGAATATCTCTTTACAATATATTTGTCTTTAAATTTGAATTAAAAAATTTAGGTCACAATTCTATAATATAATTTACAAAGAATTGCCTTAGATATTTTTATTACCATTTTTTTCTCTAACTTCAATAAAATTTAAAAAGAAAAAAAACCGTTGGGCCCACTTGGGCCCACTTAGGCCCGGAACTGCGAAGCCCATTTAAATTGGGACCGGCCCACTTAGCCTACTTAGGCCCGGGACCGGCCTACATGCCAGCCTTAGTACCAATTGGAGATGCCATTGTGCACATGAGGAAGGTAGATGGTTCGTGGGTATTGAGACAAGAGAGTCTCGTGAAGTTGATCACTCAGGAGGAGTGTTGTTGAGTTTCGTTATGATTCTTGAATGGAGCTACTATTATTTCTAAGGCATGTCAAGAGTGAACTGGAAGAAGTTGGCTTGGTTAGTAATGGTTGAATCGACATGATTGTGGCAATGATCAGTTCCTTCGGCTTGTGAAGTTATACATATGATTTGTGGTTGTACGTGCAGGCTCGGTAGCCACCATAACTTGATTGGTAATAGGAGGTATTTTGATTCAAAAGGCTTTGTGGTGTAAATAAGTTCCGGAAGAGTTATGGCAGTTTAGATCACGACTTGAGGTTTGTATTTTCTGCTGTTTAGAATTTCAATTGCGTGTTGCGTTGGTTCTTCTGAAATGATCTACTTGAAAGGTTTCTAGCTAATGCAGTGTTTATTCTACTAGTAGCTCAGGGGTTATGATGAATTTGTATGTTCTTGCCTAGCGGCATGATAGGTACGGTGCACGATATGGGGATTTGAAGGTTAAGGATAAAGGTTGTGGTTCAGTGTTGACAAGAAT